ATCACCGTCCCCGTAAAATTTGTTAATGTGGGACTCTCTGGGCAGGACCACAATATGGGTCTGCTTCTCGTCCAGAGTAGACATTTTATTCCTTTAGTAAAAAAAAAAAAGAGTTCTTTCTTACCGTGTGTGTATGAAAAAATTTTCCTCGTTCCTCAATTTTCACTGTTCCTGAATGTCCGAATTCACACACACACTAAACACAGTTATGAACTAGGTTGACTATGGGTGCCTAACGCGGCAAGTCTCGTTGAATTCATCCTGGTCGCAGCGCCAAATGTAACGAGACTTGTCCTGCTCGCAGAGCCAAATGTAACGAGTCCCCGAGTCTATCCTGCCGACAACGCCAAATGTAACGAGTCTCTGGCTACCCTGCCGACAACGCCAAATGTGACCTTCCCGAGTCTAACCACTCATTCCACACAACATTGACCACAGCATAGATACTCGAAGATGCAGGTTCATTATTGATCCTTTTATTACATAAATCAAAGAATGCTTCACAATAATATAATGAATCAAGAGAGATGTTTCACAATAATAGTCTGAATCAACGGACCCCCAACAGTCCTCACTAGGCTTCATCTAACTGAATACACATGTCTAACGTCCTTCTTAACACAATATAACCAACTTGATACTGCCACACAGACTCACTGAGAGAGAGAGACTGACGGACTGACTGACAGACCTTCTGAGACCGACTTTCTGAGAGACCTCGAGCTCAGCCGTCGCCTTCCTTATATCCCCTTCATAATCGTACTCATATTCGGTCCTATCATAATCGTAATTGTAATCGATTCTAATCGTTACATCAGACTGTTAATTACGCCGCTTCTGTCGTACAGTCCGATTTTAATAAGCCACCTGCATCCTGTCACATCAAAGTTGACAGACCGTCTTTCGTATCGCTTCCCGAGATATTACGCCTTGGCATCAGCCAACACCTGCACTGTGACGTCAGACTGTAACACGTTATGTCTCTTGGTAACTTCCCCTAGTTACATATATATATATATATATATATATATATATATATATATATATATATATATATATATATATATATATATATATATATATATATATATATATAACACACATTTGGATATATTCGTTAGTGTGTGTGCGTTAGTCAGATTGTGTGTGTATGTTTATGTGTAATATTACTTGCACAGATCCATTTGAAAAAGCTAGTGATGAATAATAAATGAAAAAATATTTATTGGCCAGTAAAATCTATATAACCAGTCCGTTTTGGTATAAACGAGTTTTGTTGAATCGTTAAATTCTGATTTCAGTAAATGTTAGTGTCTGTTAGTTTGAACCCAATCGGGCAAAATGGAAGGCATTAAGGTAAACTTCTTCTAAAAATGACGGCATTTTAGATGTGTTTTTAAGGATGACTTTCCATCTTGTACGCCAAGTATCTCAGCTATCAACAGTTGACGGACAGTTCCCTCTGTAATTAGCGGAGAGCTCTTCTGCAATTAGGAAATTAGCGGACAACTCCGCCCTATTTAGCGGACAGCTGCCCTGTAGTTAGCGGACAGCTCCCCTGTAGTTAGCGGACAGCTCCCCTGTAGTAAGCGGACAGCTCCCTTGTAGTTAGCGGACAGCTCCCTTGTAGTTAGCGGACAGCTCCCCTGTAGTTAGCGGACAGCTCCCCTGTAGTTAGCGGACAGCTCCCCTGTAGTTAGCGGACAGCTCCCCTCCAGTTAGCGGACAGCTCCCCTGTAGTTAGCGGACAGCTCCCTTGTAGTTAGCGGACAGCTCCCTTGTAGTTAGCGGACAGCTCCCCTGTAGTTAGCGGACATCTCCCCTCTAGTTAGCGGACAGCTCCCCTGTAGTTAGCGGACAGCTCCCTTGTAGTTAGCGGACAGCTCCCTTGTAGTTAGCGGACAGCTCCCCTGTAGTTAGCGGACAGCTCCCCTCTAGTTAGCGGACAACTCCGCCCTATTTAGCGGACAGCTACCATGTAGTTAGCGGACAGCTCCACCCCCCCTACACAACCTATTGACGGCGGATAGCTCCCCCTCCTACCCCATCCCCGTCCTATCCCCCCCCCCATACACGACCTATTGACGGCGAAGATCTAATGGAATGATGTTATCTGCACTGAGCCGGCATCTCCGAGCGAGATCCGGTCAGCCGGCAGATTCCGTACGTTCTCAATGGCATTCCAGCATTGCCCGCTGTTTGCTTATCACACACGGACTTAAAGCTTTTTTTTTATCGAGCGGACAGACCTGAATGGAAGGAGGTGTCATTCGGCAGATTTGCCTGATTGGAAGGTTTATCTTGGAGGAAAGCAGCCGGGAGTTTTTCATAATCTTCGGAGCTGCGCACGAAACATTCTTAAGGCATCCCATTCCAATTTTTGCACTTAAAAATTGTATTCTGTTTTTTTCAATTAAGTTTATTTATTTTAAAAACTGCTTGCTGGCGTAAAGATATTTAATTAGGTTGATTAGTGGACGTTTTGAAGCTGGTGTTGGTACTACTTGTCATGTGACTGATAATATTTAACTTAATGGGTTGTAGACCGATCATATTTAACATCGCCGATTTGTACACGGAATATATTCAACTTCACACAGTTTTGTAGATTGACCAAATTGAATATAAACTTTTTAAGAAGTAGCTGACTCTATCTTAGACCGCTAAATTCATGAAACATCGCAATTTACACCGACAGGATATACCATAACACACAATGGTGCTTGCATGACCACAATTAAATGAAAAACCTCGTTAACTTTTGTCAAACGGTCGCTAAGTTGGGGAAAGTTTAAGCCCATTTAACTATATTTGAGTTCTAATCGTCTCCTTAAAAAAAAATGTTCCGTGTGCGGCTATGGGGTTTGCTGTCTTCTACGCAGAATCTATGACGTAACTTTTTTTACTTTATTCTTACTCGAAGACTGACTTAAAGAATTGAATTATGTGGTAATCCTGAGTGATAATGTCAGATGTGTGAAAATGGGGAATGATTATGTCATCTGTGTGATAATCGTGAGTGATTATGTCAGTGGTGTGACAATCGTGAGTGATTATGTCAGTGGTGTGACAATCGTGAGTGATTATGTCAGTGGTGTGACTCCATAGCCTGAATACCTGACTGACAATGTCGGGAGAGATTTAGTGGTAAAGCTGGCGTCACGTCTAGCGTCACATCTAGCGTCACATCTAGCGTCACGTCTAGCGTCACGTCTAGCGTCACGTCTAGCGTCACATCTAGCGTCACATCTAGCGTCACGTCTAGCGTCACGTCTAGCGTCACATCTAGCGTCACATCTAGCGTCACGTCTAGCGTCACGTCTAGCGTCACGTCGAGCGTCACGTCTAGCGTCACTGTTCGCGTCACGTGTCACGTCTAGCGTCACATCTAGCGTCACGTCTAGCGTCACGACTAGCGTCACTTTTCGCGTCACGTGTCACGTCTAGCGTCACATCTAGCGTCACGTCTAGCGTCACGTCTAGCGTCACGTCTCGCGTCACAGTTCGTGTCACGTCTAGCGTCACGTCTAGCGTCACGTCTAGCGTCACGTCTAGCGTCACGTCTAGCGTCACGTCTAGCGTCACGTCTCTCGTCACGTCTAGCGTCACGTCTAGCGTCACAGTTCGCGTCACGTCCAGACAACGTCAGCTAACACTTGTTACTAAAGCCCGTGGATTACAGGGACGGCAAGTTAAATAATTTATCTCGCTGGCTCCCAAACTGTGGTTAATTAGCGAGGTTAATTAATGAAACGGCTTGTCCTATACAGTTAGACGAATACCCCCCCCCCCCTCTTCTTGGTTCGGCTTCCGGTATACGTCTCATGGAAGCTCCTGGAGATTTTGACTAGAGAAATCCCCGGAGCTAATTCGTAGTGAAATGTAGGACAGTTGTGTTGTTGGGCTGGCGTTTAAGGACAATTTTGTCAGTTGGCCATGAAGATCAAAAGAGAAATGTCACAAAAAATTGTCGTCATTTTCAGATGACGAAGCATGACATCCGACAATCTGTCAGTACCTATCGTCTCACTCTCTAGAAGTTTCCGTTGACGGTACAATCTGCAGTGAATTAGAAAATATTCTACAGAAACTTCTCTTTGATCCCTCGGCATCAGTCGCTAACAAAAGAAGGTTCCAGAAATTTCATCTGAATATAATAAATGGTATCCGACACCTGGTCATGTAGATGGGCTACGTACTTGGAACAATCGATTATCGATCACCTTTCCAAAATGATTCCTGCTTCGCTAGAGGGCTACGGCTCCCAACCCTGCTTCACTAGAGGGCTACGGCTCCCAGCCCTGCTTCACTAGAGGGCTACAGCTCCCAACCCTGCTTCACTAGTTACAGCTTTGAACCCAACGATTCCAATTTTAAGCTGATCTACCTGATCTCATAGTGGGAGCTGTAGAGCTTTGTTTGTGACTCTGAGAGCTACACTGGGATGGTTGTGATTCAGAACATCCGTGACCGTTGATGTATGAGCAAATGAAGTTTAAAACAACGAAGATCACGTGACCACACAAAGACTTGTCAAACGTAACATCCCTTGAAACACGGGCGTTTTTTTTTTACTTCGTTGATGCCAAAACCTAACGGCTTCTTCACAAATACAAATCTAGGTTTCAAACTTTATGTTATAGTTCCCACGTGGGTGTTAATGTTGTGTACAGCATCAACTTCCCTATCGATGCGTACATCATATTTTATAACAAATAACAATACCAGTCAGCACAGACTTTTAGTGTTGTTCTAATGTTGAATTAGTCAGAAATACTTTATGGTTATAATTTCTCCAAAGTTCATGTTTCGGTTGTTAGATTAACCCGACCTACCTTATGGTTATAATTTCTCCAAAGTTCATGTTCCGGTTCTTAGATTAACCCGACCTACCTTATGGTTATAATTTCTCCAAATTTTATTTTCGGTTGTTAGATTAACCCGACTTACCTTATGGTTATAATTTCTCCAAATTTATTTATTTAGATAACCCGACTTACCTTATGGTTATAATTTCTCCAAAGTTCATGTTACGGTTGTTGACCTGTGCGATAAAGAGCGCAGCCACGGCCTCATATAGAGCCGTACCGTCCATGTTGATGGTGGCACCCACGGGGATGACGAAGGACGCAACTCTGGCGTCCACGTGGTTGTTGTGTTCCAGACACTTGAGAGTCACCGGCATGGTGGCAGAGCTGGGGAGGTACAGGTGTTGGTGTACACAGGTGTGGGGAGGTACAGGTGTTGGTGTACACAGGTGTGGTACGTACAGGTGTTGGTGTACACAGGTGTGGGGAGGTACAGGTGTTGGTGTACACAGGTGTGGGGAGGTACAGGTGTTGGTGTACACAGGTGTGGGGAGGTACAGGTGTTGGTGTACACAGGTGTGGGGAGGTAGGGGTGTTGGTGTACACAGGTGTGGGGAGGTACAGGTGTTGGCGTGGGTGTGGGGAGGTACAGGTGTTGGTGTACACAGGTGTGGTACGTACAGGTGTTGGTGTACACAGGTGTGGGGAGATACAGGTGTTAAAGTACACAGGTGGGGGAGGTACAGGTGTTGATGTACATAGGTGTGGGGAGGTACAGGTGGCTTGTACACAGGTAAGGAGACGTACAGGTGTTGGTGTACACAGGTGTGGGGAGGTACAGATGATGGTGTACACAGGTGTGGGGAAGTACAGGTGTTGGTGTACACAGGTGGGGGAGATACAGGTGTTGATGTATATAGGTGAGGGGAGACACGTGTGGCTTGTACACAGGTAAGGAGACGTACAGGTGTTGGTGTACACAGGTGTATGACGTGCATGTGTTGATGTCACAGGTAAGGTGAGATACATATGTGATGTACAAGGTGAGGGGAGATATGGGTGTTCGTGTACAACATGTTAACATGCGATGGTAAAGGAACTGACAAGATACAGTACATGCTGATTTACACATAACTTTTAGCATTCATGTCGTCGTGGGTGACGGGACTTGGACATCTATCAATATTTGTTTTAAAAGTTGCGGACATTTTTAAATTTATTCGACCTGGTGGAGTTAAGTTAACTACGATCCATCATCTACCTCCCTACCCCCTCCGTACCTAGATAACCTCTCCTCATGTCATCTGACCCCCCCCCCCCCTCCCTAGATCACCTCTCTTCGTGTCATCTGACCCCCCCCTCTCATCTCTCTTACCCAACCTGTGTCAGACAAGAGATGTAATCACGAGATGGGAGGGGATTGTTAGGTGGGGCTCTAAGGAGATGCATCACACGTTAAGGACTGGTTACTTCCGGTTACCTGAAAACTCTATTTCACACCTGATGTTTCTCAGGTGACTTCTTCCGATATGTTGGTCAGGCTCAGTTGGCTCGTTTAAGTTGGGTTGGTTAGGTTAAGTTGGTTAGGTTTAGTTGGTTAGGTTATGTTGGTTAGATTAACTTGGTTAGGTTAAGTTGGTTTTGTTAAGTTTGTTAGGTTAAGTTGGTTAGGTTAAGTTGGTTAGGTTAAGTTGGTTAGGTTAAGTTGGTTTTGTTAAGTTTGTTAGGTTAAGTTGGTTAGGTTAAGTTGGTTAGGTTAAGTTGGTTAGGTTAAGTTGGTTAGGTTAAGTTGGTTAGGTTAAGTTGGTTAGGTTAAGTTGGTTATGTTAAGTTGGTTTTGTTAAGTTTGTTAGGTTAAGTTGGTTAGGTTAAGTTGGTTAGGTTAATGGGTTGGTTAGGTTAAGTTGGTTAGGTTAAGTTGGTTATTTGGGTTATTTTTTATGTGATATGTATGTATGTTATATATAGTCTTAGTAAACCTGTCTGAACGACATTATAAACTTTCAACTGTCTAAAAGGCTTTATAGCTGTTCCTTAAATGACATAAACCTGTTACTTAACTACAACAGTTACAAATGTCATGTCATATCGGCCAATGCCACCTGTCACTCACCTGGACGAGGTACCAAATGCCGTGGCCAGCGCCTGCGAGATGCCGTAGATGAAGGTGTACGGGTTTTTCCTGACCAGCACGAAGTAGATGAGGGGCAGGACGACGGAGCCGTGGATGAAGAGGCCGATGAGGACGGTGATGAAGTACAAGCCCACCTTGCCCAGTAGGACCGAGAAGTCCTCCATCTCCACGATCTTGGCGGTGATGAGAAATGCAATGCCAACAGGTGAGTACCTGGGGACATTCACACGGGCGTTATTCGGACGTTAAAATAAAAATTACTGCAGGTAGACCATTAAACATATTCCAGGTAGATCAGAAATTAAATATTAATTATTGAAAAAGTAACGCCGTTGTTTAAAATAACGTCATTATTAAATCAATGGAATCTGTTTACAAAATCTGGTGAACAAAAAACTTGTTACAACAGAAAGTGTTTTTCCCCCAAAAAATCTGTTCCAAATGAGCAGTGAAATATCGTTCTTTGTAATGTTTTTTTCAAGCACATTCAACCTACCTTAAAGATACCGGGAACATAACGTAGCCAGAAGGTGGCTTTTTGACAGAAACACTGTAAACCTACCACAGAAAGACTATAAACCTACTGTAGAAACCTGCCACAAGAATATTGTAAAACTATTATAGAAACCTGTCACAAAAAAAAGGTAAACCTACTATAGAAACCTACCACAAGAAGACTGTAAACCTGCTAAAGAAACCTACCACAAGAAGACTGTAAACTTACTGTAGAAACCTACCACAAAGACTGTAAACCTACTATAGAAACCTACCACAAAGACTGTAAACCTACTATAGAAACCTACCACAAAGGCTGTAAACCTGCTATAGAAACCTACCACAAAGATTGTAAACCTGCTATAGAAACCTACCACATAGACTGTAAACCTACTATAGAAACCTACCATAAAAAGACGGTGAAGAGTTTCATGGTGACCTCTACCAAACAGTCACAGAAGGCCAGGATCGGCTTCCCCCTCTCCCCCATCCTGCCCAGCATGACGCCGAATAAGATGGCGAATGTCACAATGCCAAGGACGTTGGATTTTCCCGTGCCCTCGTTCTGAAGCGTGACGTGGTACCTGACTGGAGGTTCTGTGGGGAACAAGGTGATTTTTGATATGACAAACACCATCACATGTCAACATGGAAATCACTATGTCAACATAATAAACAAAATGTAAACACAACAATAACCATGTTAATATGACAAACACCATGTAAACACAAACACATGTAAACACAAACACCATGTCAACATAACAAACACCATGTCTAGATAACAAACACCATGTCAACATAAAAACACCAAATGACACAGATTTAGAAAACTAAATATTAGATCTTGCACAAGCAAACAAAACTAAACTCAATGTATACTGCTTTATTATTCTCTACTAGTTGCATAATCTGAAGGGAAAAAATTTAATCAAATGCATCATATATTTCTCTTTATTGATCAACATCCTAAATGTACCTTCAAATCAACACACTGGGTCCAATATGACATTGTTGTATGGCTTTCATTTAGCTGAAATACTTTCAATACAGACCACACATCGCCTCATACAAACATACACACAAAGCTAAATACTTTTTTTTTTTCATTTTGACTTTTTTTCCCAGTTGACGTAAGCACAGAAAAACTTCAACCTATTGTGAATTAAAACACTGGAGCTAATTTCCTCTTCCTTCAAAGAAATCTCCAGGCAATCCGATAGATGCCAATATAGGTTTAGTACCAATTTCCTACAGATCAGCTCGGATTACTGCCAATGCTTTCATAGAATCAAACAGAAATATCAATAGAGAAGAAATAGTTTTCTCGGGGGGGGGGGGGGGGGGGGGGCTTGCAAGGTATGGCAACAGTTAACGTGGGGTGTCTCAGTAGCTTCAATATCAACTGGTGCTATGTGCTGGGTCCTACCAAGTTAACCTGCCATGTCCTGTGAGGACCAAGTTAAACTGTCATGTCCTAAGAGGACCAAGTTAACCTGTCATGTCCTGTGTCCTACCAAGTTAACCTGTCATGTCCTGTGAGGACCAAGTTAAACTGCCATGTCCTGTTGCAAGAGGACCAAGTTAAACTGCCATGTCCTGTGAGGACCAAGTTAACCTGTCATGTCCTGTGTCCTACCAAGTTAACCTGTCATGTCCTGTGAGGACCAAGTTAAACTGCCATGTCCTGTTGCAAGAGGACCAAGTTAAACTGCCATGTCCTGTGAGGACCAAGTTAACCTGTCATGTCCTGTGAGGACCAAGTTAACCTGCCATGTCCTGTTCCAAGAGGACCAAGTTAACCTGCCATGTCATGTGAGGACCAAGTTAACCTGCCATGTCCTGTGAGGACCTAGTTAACCTGTCATGTACTGTTGCAAGAGGACCAAGTTAAACTGTCACGTCCTGTAAGGACCAAGTTAACCTGCCATGTCCTGTTCCAAGAGGACCAAGTTAACCTGCCATGTCCTGTGAGGACCAAGTTAACCTGCCATGTCCTGTGAGGACCAAGTTAAACTGCCATGTCCTGAGAGGACCAAGCTAACCTGCCATGTCCTGTGAGGACCAGCTAACCTGCCTTATATAATGATGAAATATGGGGACAACGGATGCTAAGTAATTGAAATTATGCGACATCTTCGATTTTCAATACATTCAAACGTCTGTGGACAAAAGCAGTTTGTTTCATTTAAGTCTTGCACTTAGATTATGTAATACATTTGATGCATGACGGCTAGAGAGTGGTGAAAAATAGCTAGTATATGTATAGACAGCCACCATTAATAAATGTACACAACATAGTCGGCGGTCAAGGTCTTTAATGGAAGTCATCTTGAGATGGGTTCCAATCTCTGAGAGTATCTGTTTCTCTTGTCATTCACATGTCGTTTTATCATTGAGTGTAGCGACCCCGTCAGAAGGAGCCATCTTGCTACCTTGTCCAATGACAATGCCATTCTTTAGTTTTGATGAAGGCGCTTTCTGACACCGGCCTGTTCTTTTCATGTGTTGTCGGGTACTCGGTTACTTGGCAGGAAGTAAACTCCAGATATTGTCAAGTAGATTCCATTCGTTTACAGGTAGATTCCAGGATCTCGACAGGTAAATAACAAATATTGATATGTATAATCCATGTCCTTGTAAACTTTATGTGTAGGCACTGGTTGGACCAGCGATTCAGGCAACAGTTGTTTTTTGTCAGCTTTCCCAGACATTGAGTTATGGAAACCCAACTAACAAAAAGGAAACGAATTAATACTAATAGTTTCGCTGTCTGTCTATGTATCTATCTATATGACAAGAACGCTCTAGAGAAAACACAAGGAAATTAAAAACATGCATAGTAATTCGAAAAACGAAGTATGACGCGGTCACATTTAGCATAGAGTAGAAAATAATCTCAAGAGTGCACACAGTAATATGACGTCATTGATTCTCGAGTAAACATTGAATAAAAAGGAAATGTTGTCTAATCTAAGTGGTTTGCGTGAAGAGTTTCTTGCATACAATTCTTCGGGTAGGGGCGAAGCCCCACCCCCCGCGTAAGAACGTCTGAGCCCCCCCCCCCTCCCCAATTCAAAAGAAATTTCTTCATCGATACTCTATAATAAAATTACCGCCTAATTAATGTGTCTAATCTAAAAAGTGGTTTTCTTGCAATTTCTTTAATGCAATTCTTCGGGTAGTGGCTAAGCGCGACACCAGTGTTTCTTTCAGACTTTTTCCTCCCCGGAGAGGGGTGGGGGTACTTGAAATTTTCGGGGGCGGGGGTAGAATTTTCGGGGAGGGGGCGGACACTGGAAAAAGTATATAATTATATTTCGTTGAATGGGACGGTAGACATGTTTTTTGGGGGGTGCGGGGGGTGGGGGTGGGGGGGTGGGGTGGTTTTAGTTTAGAGAAAAGAGACAGCACTATCAGCCTAGCGCCCGTTGTATCCTTCCTCAACGAGACATGTTTTTTTGGGGGGTGTGGGGGGGGGGGGTGGGGGTGGTGTGTGTGTGGGGGGGGGGGGGTGGGGTGGTTTTAGTTTAGAGAAAAGAGACAGCACTATCAGCCTAGCGCCCGTTGTATCCTTCCTCAACGAGACATGTTTTTGGGGGGTGGGGGGGTGGTGTGTGTGTGTGGGGGGGTGGGGTGGTTTTAGTTTAGAGAAAAGAGACAGCACTATCAGCCTAGCGCCCATTGTATCCTTCCTCAACGAGACGTTTTTTGGGGGGTGGGGGGTGGTGTGTGTGGGGTGGGGGGGGTGGGGTGGTTTTAGTTTAGAGAAAAGAGACAGCACTATCAGCCTAGCGCCCGTTGTATCCTTCCTCAACGGGCCACTTTTCTCGTGAATTTAAGAATTTTACAAATGAACTAAGGAAACACAATGGCACACTGAGACATGCGTATAATCTTCTAGAAGCTGAGGAAATGCATGTTCATTAGTTTTATTATATTAAACTACAGTTCAATGTACAGTACAGTGTTTTCTGATACAACAGTATACACAAGATCACGTGACATACAAGACTACATAATATACAAGACCACGTGATACGCAAGACCACGTGATACACAAGAGCACGAGCCACACAAATACGTACCTGTATCATTGGCCAGTGTTGTGTTTTCAAACAGGAATGTTGGTGTTGTAACGGTCACGTTGGAGAAGTTGCCGCTGGGAGCCATGGGTTCCTCCACAATCTCCTTGATGACTTCTTTGGTGCGGTACTGGGGGGGGGGGGTGAACATCGTTAATGTCAGCCGTTATAATTTATGCTCAATAAAACAGCTTTTAGGTAAACATTATTTCAATAGATAGGTGAATTAAACAACACATTAGTTATATTTATTAGTCATATGAATGCAGTCATACGATTTGCATGCAACTTGTCTTTTTATCTTGTTTTTCCGTTTGGCCAAACGCTATTCCATACATATGTATCCATGTTGTGTTTTCTTTATGACCATACACATATCCCATAATTATGATGACTTTACCTTTAGCCATATGTTGTTACATACACACGTATCAATGTCTTATGTCCATACACACATTCATGTAAACATTCAAGCATTGTATTTCCATCTGTTAACATACGTACCAAAAAACCTTCTTGTATGTGTGTCTATCCATCTGACCACACACATACCCATACAACCCGCCATAAGTGAATAAAGTAAAGATAAACCCCAAACCCTACGTTACCAACCCAACAACTCCAACCCAAGACGTCTTCGATTTTCCCTCTATTTGATTGAGCACATTTTTAAGTTAAACTTCTATTTCTCCGATCAATGCAAGTAAAACTGTAGACACAGGCACACCTTGATTGGCACCACTCCGTGCAGCGCCATCTAGCCAGCAATCAGAGCGGAGACAATCAAAGACGCAATTGTGTCCCAACTCCTGGGTCTGGGTCAGACCCGTATCGACCCACACGGAGAGTTCTGCTGCCATTGTTTTCAGCCGGACCTCTAGGCAACAATGGAAACGGTTGGGACTTCGCCACGTCAAGCTGCTTGTTCGTTGATGCGTGACCATAGGCGCCTCCAGACTTATTTAGATGCGATATATATATATATATATATATATATATATATATATATATATATATATATATATATATATATATATATATATATATATATATATATATGTATGTATGCATGTATGTATATATATACATATATATTCGTGTATATATATATATATATATATATATATATATATATATATATATATATATACTTGTTGAAAGTGTTCTTATTGAATTTCTTCAATCTATTCCAAGCAAGTAGGGAGGGCTAAGCCGCTCATCCACCTCCTCCACCCCCCTCGCCCCTCCGCACCATGCGACCCCTAGATCCCCTGTGTGCAGGGCCCATGTAATCGGGCCTGACTTCCCGTCCCCACGAGCCTGGCATGTTTTTATGTCGCCCCCTCCCCGGGCTTGCCACGAGCGGGTGATTACACCCTCCACGGGAGTGGCTGGCAGCTGAAGGGCGACATGTTCACATTCTAACGCTCCTCTAAGAGGCCAGCATTCAATCAAAAACCGGTAGTGCTATTGATGGGGGGGGGGGGGGGTGAGGAATGAAAATATCGGTTTAATGGTGTTAAAGAAACCATACGATCATTGAGCTTCGACTTGATGAGATTGGAGTCAGTGACGCATCGTTGGATGGCTAAACGTATCCGGTGTTAGGCGCGTGCATCACGTTCTACGATTTGTATTCATTCCGGTATTTAGATTACACTGAGGTCTAGCTAGTAAACAAACAAACATCTCAATACAGTCTTCATTAAGTTCAGACATAGTGATGGTACAAACCAAGAGTTGAACCGAGTGTATTTACATAGCTCTAGCTTGACACAACAATTGACTTTGATGAAAACAAATTGTGTGTGTGTGTCTGTGTGTGTGTGTGTGTGTGCGTGGGTGCGTGTCTGTGTATGTGTAGTGGGAGAGACAGCTATGTGTGTCAGTGTGTTGTAAGAAAAAAAAATCACTTACGGCATTGAAACAGGTGACGATAAGGTTGTCTGGAAACACGTTCCTGTAATTTGAAATAAAAGATATTTAATTGGCACTTGAACATAATCAATAACCTCATGTCTAGAACAATACAATAACCACATGTGTAGAGCATTACAATAGTTTTCGTTAGCATTACAGTGACTGTTTTATGTGCCGATATCTTTTTTTTTCTCGCACACAAGACCCATCTTAACTTGGAGGTGTCAGTTCACCAGGTACTAACATGTCAGTTATTCAGGTGCTAACAGGGAGGTGTCAGTTCACCCGGTGCTTTGTTGAGGGTGTCAGTTCACCAGGTGCTAACATGGCGGTGTTAGTTCACCAGGTGCTAACGTGTCAGTTATTCAGGTGCTAACATGGAGGTGTCAGTTCACCAGGTGCTAACGTGTCAGTTTTTCTGGTGCTACCATTGAAGTGCGCCAAGATGATTTGATAGTTCCAGAGAGGCGCAGTGGCAAAGCCGTGTTCTAATTGAACGGCTAGACTATCATACATCTGGTACCATATTCTAATATAACGGCTAGACTATCATACATCTGGTACCATATTCTAATATAACGGCTAGACTATCATACATCTGGGTACCATATTCTACTATAACGGCTAGACTATCATACATCTGGGTACCATATTCTAATATAACGGCTAGACTATCATACATCTGGGTACCACATTCTAATATAACGGCTAGGCTATCATACATCTGGGTACCATATTCTACTATAACGGCTAGGCTATCATACATCAGGGTACCATATTCTACTATAACGGCTAGGCTATCATACATCAGGGTACCATATTCTAATATAACGGCTAGACTATCATACATCTGGGTACCACATTCTAATATAACGGCTAGACTATCATACATCTGAGTACCACATTCTAATATAACGGCTAGACTATCATACATCTGGTACCATATTCTTATATAACGGCTAAACTATCATACATCTGGGTACCATATTCTAATATAACGGCTAGACTATCATACATCTGGTACCATATTCTTATATAACGGCTAAACTATCATACATCTGGGTACCATATTCTAATATAACGGCTAGACTATCTACATCAAGGTACCATATTCTACTATAACGGCTAGGCTATCATACATCTGGGTACCATATTCTAATATAACGGCTAGACTATCATACATCAAGGTACCATATTCTAATATAACGGCTAGACTATCATACATCTGGGTACCATATTCTAATATAACGGCTAGATTATCATACATCTAGGTACCATATTCTTATATAACGGCTAAACTATCATACATCTGGGTACCATATTCTAATATAACGGCTAGACTATCATACATTTGATACAACGATAATATCACCTGGCTACTAACAGTCTAAAAATAACCAGATGACCTAGTTTCACAAGGTCACTGAAATTTCAACTATAAAAACTCCCCCCCCCCCCCTGATGCCATCAGATTAACCTCAAGAGGATTTAACCGATCTATTCCCTGACCACTACACTGACCACTCCCTCCCCGAACGTTAAATAAAATTAGGTTCTACATCTTGGATCCGGCCTAAGAACGGATTCGATTACATCCCTTATAAAATTCAGCGTTAAGTAGATTCGATTATATCCCTTGTAAAATATAGGGTTCAGTAGATTCGATTACGTCCCTATAAGAAAATAGCGTAAAGTAGAGGAAAACGCAAACGACTAGAGAGAACGAATGGAGCTTTGATAGACGATAGACTTTTATCAAATGTTGGCATAATTTGTGGTAGACAAGCTAATTATCAAAGGTTTTGATTGGGCTTTGCTAAGTATTTAACTTATGTGATGTTGAACAACTGGCGTCATGATAGAACTAGAGTAACAATTTAACAAATAGCTTTATGATAAAAATAGACTAACAATTATTATTTAACAAATGGCGTCATGACAGAACTAGACTAACAATTTAATAAATAGCTTTATGATAAAAATAGACTAACAATTATTATTTAACAAATGGCGTCATGACAGAACTAGACTAACAATTTAACAAATAGCTTTATGATAAAAATAGACTAACAATTATTATTTAACAAATGGCGTCATGACAGAACTAGACTAACAATTTAACAAATAGCTTTATGATAAAAATAGACTAACAATTTAACAAATGGCGTCATGACAGAACTAGAGTAACAATTTAACGAATAGCGTCAAGATGGGGGCTAGACCAGCAACTTCGCCACACTTAATGTCCCGGTGACCGTAAAGATAGAAACAGGGCCCGTAACTTCGTTTCTTGAGAAACTCGGTTTCCATTGACTGGCGGAATAACAGTACTAGAGTTCATAACCTTGTTACTGGCTGGCTAAACAAGACACACTGACTGGCTAAAAACGACATAATGTTGACTGGCTAAACAAGACACACTGACTGGCTAAACAAGACACACTGACTGGCTAAACAAGACCCACTGACTGGCTAAACAAGACGCAATGTTGACTGGCTAAACAAGACACACTGACTGGCTAAACAAGACGCAATGTTGGCTGGCTAAACAAGACACACTGACTGGCTAAAAAAGACACGATGTTGACTGGCTAAACAAGACACACTGACTGTCTAAACAAGACACACTGACTGGCTAAAAAAGACACGATGTTGACTGGCTAAACAAGACACAATGTTGGCTGGCTAAACAACGAACGTTATTGGCTTTCGTTTACAGTAGCAAGTTGTATTCGTTAAACAACAAAAATATCTCAAAAATAAAGAAATGTCCAACAATCTCGTTAAGTGATCCAAGTTGATTAGTTGATGTTGGTGTAGTGATCCAAGTTGACCAGTTGATGTTGGTGTAGTGATCCAAGTTGACCAGTTGCTATTGGTGTAGTGATCCAAGTCGACCAGTTGATGTTGGTGTAGTAGTGATCCAAGTTGACCAGTTGATGTTGGTGTAGTGATCCAAGTTGACCAGTTGATGTTGGTGTAGTGATCCAAGTTGACCAGTTGATGTTGGTGTAGTGATCCAAGTTGACCAGTTGCTATTGGTGTAGTGATCCAAGTTGACCAGTTGATGTTGGTGTAGTGATCCAAGTTGACCAGTTGATGTTGGTGTAGTGATCCAAGTTGACCAGTTGATGTTGGTGTAGTGATCCAAGTTGACCAGTTGCTATTGGTGTAGTGATCCAAGTTGACCAGTTGATGTTGGTGTAGTAGTGATCCAAGTTGACCAGTTGATGTTGGTGTAGTGATCCAAGTTGACCAGTTGATGTTGGTGTAGTGATCCAAGTTGACCAGTTTATGTTGATGTAGTGATCCAAGTTGACCAGTTTATGTTGATGTAGTGATCCAAGTTGACCAGTTGATGTTGGTGTAGTGATCCAAGTTGACCAGTTGCTGTTGGTGGTGTAGTGATCCAAGTTGACCAGTTGCTGTTGGTGTAGTGATTCAAGTTGACCAGTTGATATTGGTGTTGTTGTTTGTGTACGTATTCATCAATATTCTTATAAACATCCGTGTTGCTTCCCCTCCCCCTCCCCCACTTGCACGTGCAAGACAAATACATTCTCGTGTTTTTATTTTTTATTTTCAATGATTTCTTTCTCGACAAACGCTGTCTTTATTAACATAAGTAAAACGTCAATATGTGTGGATTCTGTCCACGGCGCCTTCTAGCTGATAGAAAACACACTTCACAGACTAACAGATATACCTAATGTACACAAACTATAACACGACAGACAGTTATACCTAATGTACACACACTTCAGCATACCTTATGTACACAAACTTAACACGATATATTGTCATATAATTTAATGTACACACACTTCAGCGTGACAGACTACACCAAGTTTGGTTTGTTTACATCAATCAAGGTCATGGTCACATCGCACAGAAATGCCAGCAGCTTAATTAATCCCTAATCGCGATTAGTTGATTTAATCTTCAGAAACACCGGGCAGGGCCATGCCGTGGAATTGATCTCAGGAATTACCAGACATCAATCCAACCCGTTGTTACATGCCAACCACCAGACTCGATGGTTTAACCATTTTACGTGCCAACCACCAGGTTCAACGGTTTTACATGCCAACCATGACTCAACGGTTTTACATGCCAACCATGACTCAACGGTTTTACATGCCAACCATCTGACCCAACGGTTTAACGGTTTTACATGCCAACCACCAGGTTCAACGATCTTACATGCCATAGTGCGGTCTCTAAAGTCACAATGTCCGTTCGTCGAAGGGAAGGCTGCGATTCAATTGTTTTGTGCTTCTGTAGTTTAGACCAAGCATTAACGGGTACTTTCATTCACTCTGCAAATAAGTGCATTTCCGATAACAACGCTGTATTATATAATTTCAAACGTGTTAGATATGAAAGTATTCATGAAAAGGAAAGAAACTTGGCTGTAGCAATAAGTCTGGTGAGCTGGTGTTCAACATGATTGTAGGAAAAAGAGTCACGGGAAAAAAACACAGGAAAAAAAAGTGACAAATATATATTTGCATGATATTTGTTAATACTTTTATGTATTAAATATTTAGAGAGTGCAAATTAACTTACGATTAATTAAATGTAATGTAATGTGTGTAGGCTGTATACGCAGAGGAATTTTTATAATTCATCTAAAAATATTTATTATGAAGTATGTAGATTGTAATTATTTTAAACTTAAGATTAGTAGCATTTTATGGAATGCTCCAAAGTCAACGGTTTTCATCGTAATTTTTTTTTAATACCAATATTAAATTACCGTGAATGGTAAGTTCATCTGACTTGCTGCCCTCAACTAATGGCAACAATAGTTATGTTTAGTTCAACCACCTTTACTGCCCACATTTATCACGCTCAGAGGCGTATCCAGGTTTTCGTTGTAGGGGGAGCGAAAAGAGCAAAAAAAGGCGCCGAATTTTTAACACGTTCTATATACGTGTATTATATATATATATATATATATATATATATATATATATATATATATATATATATAATTAGCTGTATGTCTTTACTTCGCTATGTGTAAACTAAATTGAA